TTAAAAACAGAGGTGATTACAAAGGAGAAGGTAGCAACAATAATGCTTTCTATTTTCTTTACCCTGTTCACGTCCATTGCCCGGGCCTATCTATGGAAAATAGTGCCTAGGGCGATAAATGTTAACCTCAAGCGGCGCCCAGGGCACCCACACAGCTACCTGCGCATCGTGCCCCCCCCCACCATAGGCCTCTGTGTCCATGCAGTTATTAGTACTCATGGCAAAGCATTCATCTTTGGCGCATATATTTCAAGTGTGTAGATAGCACATTCTATGTCCTTTATTGAGTTAAAAACAAAGAGACATTACAAAGGTGAAGTAGAAACAATAAAGCTATTATCTTTTTTTCTAAAAGAAATTTAGAATGTTTACATAGCCCAAAATACTTAAATAATATTTTTCATCTTTAAGAATCCTTGAGTTTTCAAATCTAGTACAACTGAGCTGTACTTGATTCATTTAATTCGGACTATTGCACGTCCCTTTCCCTCCTTCGTGCTGTTACAGAGGAAGTGGGTCTTTAGTACACATGATTCAGGGAAAAAAACGGCATATTTAATTCCAAAATACTCCTTAGACTGGGAAAAAAACCTGTTTTGGAGTTGTCATGTTTATTTTACAGTAACTCTACAGCAGAACAATTCAGTGTGTTAATGCAGAAATACAAACAGCTTCATCGAACAAAATACTGTTTTCTAGCTGCCTTACAGAAATGATTTACTCAAGAAAACAACCAAATTTCTCAGTTTCATTAATCGGCCTTGTAAATATTTTGCCAGAGCATTTTTTTCTTGGGGTGGGGGAAGCAAATAAAAAAAGTTTAAAAGCTATATGTGTCTATTTTGCTTAAGCTTGGTGTATTTATTAAGAGTAAATTCTGTATGTCTTTGCAGCTCATCAATATGCGTATTCAGAAGCTTTTCAAGTTCTTTTGCTCGCTTCTCTTCCTCCAGAAGGAAATGCTGTGCAGCCAAAGACGCTGGAATGGACATATCTGGGGGAGACTAAAGAAAGAAAGAAAATTTACATAAGGGATACAGAGCCTTTTTTTAATCTTCATATTTCTAGGCATGCTTCTTCCCTGACGTACTGTCAAATGCTGCAACTCCTAAAGAAAGAACACATCTTGAACTGACCGCCCCCCCCACCAGCGTAATGCAGTCAACGCTAATGAAATCCCCAAGCAACTAAAACACCCTGGCACCGTTACACTGAAAGCTCGAGAAATGAGTATTACAGTGTCCAACTGCAAATGCAAGGAAAATGTAATTACCATGGAACCTGTCTAAAACATACTCCACTAATTTG